CATTTTATGGAGGACTGTTTACTGATCCTGGGAGAGTAACGTTAGACTAAAATGCCGGCAGTTCTGACTCACGTAAGTACATTTTCTTTTATCATTTGCCACTGATGATTCAAACGCGAGTTTTGGGCAGTGTGGAGTAGCACTTGTAGTTTGTCCTTTCTCTGATCACAAATGCAGACATGGTTTTATGTTTACGTGGCACGATGCGATGCAATGCAACGCAATGCGTAAAAAGACAGTATAAGTCATTATAATCAGTAATTATGTCCCCACTGGATGCAACAAATGCCTTGTTTGTAATGGGTTTTATTGGTTTTGTCTCGTCGCTCCGGCCGGGACACGCTATCACAGTATGGTGAGGGGCGTAACATTTCCGTCTCACGCTTGAGGAATTCGGCCAATCACAACGCACTGGATAGCTGGCCAATCAGAGCACACCTCGCTTTTTCAGACCGATGAGCTTTGTAAAAATCGACGCGTTTCAAAAAGGCGGGGCATAGAGGAGAAACAATAATATACAGTATGTGGAAAATAATGTGTTTTTTACTTCAAACCGCATAAACACATTTCATTACACCAAATACACAAAATAATGTTCTTTTTAGCAGCATCATATGACCCCTTTAAGACAAGATAAGTTTTCAGAAATATAATGTTTAAATATGCAAATGAGGCATTCTCTCATTAAAAATGCATTAATTTGCATATATTTCCATAACAGAAATCTGAACATGGGATAAAGCCAGGTTCAATATTTTTGTTTGATTTTGTTGACATATTACAGTTTAAAGGGCTTTACAGATTTGGATATCTCTTTTTATCACTCCATATAGAAAATAGAAATAGAAAAAGAAATAACCATTATTAGGTAAAAATGTTATATAAATCAGGCAAATGTTATATGAACAAACCTTTCTCTGTATATATGTAAAAAATCAGAATATAGATAGAAATAACAAGTTTTGTGTATGTAATTGCTACTGGGGGAAAAAACTCATTTTGAGAAAACGGCTGATATAGATATGCTTTATAATTAAAATCTACAGATGCAAATAGATAAAATGTAATAAAAATAAATAACAATGTCTATTTTGTATGTTTTCTATCCACTATTTTGTTATGGAAACAAAATTTCACCTTGCAGTGAAACACTGAACAGGTGTTTTGCATCAGATGCTACTAAAACTGATTAAATTACACACACAAATCTCCTCCTGAATTCAGTGTGGTGCATGGGAGTCTGGATACTGTGGAATGACTCATATGAGAGGGTGAGAAATGTGAGCGAG